GACGAACCCTGTCGTAGCCCGCCGTCCGGCCCTAGCCTGCCCCCAACCTAAGCCTTAGCCCCGGCCCATCCAGAGGCTTGCGCCAACCTCCTGATCTCGTCAGCCACACCCCACCCACTCCCCTGCCTAGGCCTCAGCCCACTCCCAGCCAACGACCCCCCCACTGCCAATCAAACCCATCTACCCAGCCTTCAAGCAGACACTTTTACATTGCCTCCAACCTGACCCATCTACCTTGCTTTCTTTGCTCTTCTCTGACTTTATTTATTATGTCCATACTTTTTGTTGTTGCTTGGATTGCGGGTTGGATGGGACAGAGTGTTGGGCAGCAAAGGATGAACATGAACACAAAGTATGGCAGATTTGAAGATGCTTCATTGCATGAGCAGTCAGACGCGTATGGATAGAATAATGAATGATGCTATGAGAGCTAAAGTTGGAGCGGCACCTATTGTAGGAAAAATGGTGGAAATTTGCCTTATGTGATTTGGACATGTGGAGAGAAGACCAATAGAGCATCCCGTGAGAAAGGTTGATCAAATGGCGAATAGGCATGTGGCTGGAGGAAGAGGTAAAGCTAAGAGGGCTTGGCAAGCATTGATCAAGGAAGACCTTCGCGTGAACAATCTCACAGCTGATATGATAGGGCGCAATGGCGTCGTCTGATCCATGTAGCCGACCACACGTACTGGGGTAAGCCTTTGTTGTTGTTGTTGTTGGATTGCGGGTTGCTTTGCACTACTCCTTCAATATCTACCGTGTTACTCAGCCTTCTTGTTGTTGTTTGTTTATTGCTTGCTCCTTTTGTTTCCTTTTGGAGCTTGTGTTTGTGTTAGGGTGTTGGTAGGGTGGCTTTAGTTAGTAATGCAGGTCTAAGGAGGGGAGGGGGGGTTACAAGCGGGGGTAGAGTAGTGTCCAATGTGCGTTTTGGCTCGTGGAACATAAAGTCCACGCCGGTAAGTCAATCAAGTTGGTGCAGGTACTCAAGACTCAAGAGGAGCAGGGTCCAGGTGGCGTGTGTACATGGCGTGTGTACAGGAGACAAGATGGGTGGGGTACCAAGGCGCGAGATGTAGATGGGTTCAATTTTTGGTACTCAGGTGTTGCTAAGGGCAAGAACGGAGTGGTATTTTGGTGGAACAAGAGCTGCGGGAGTTTGTAGTGGAGGTGAGGAGGATTAGTGATTGATTGATGGCCATTAAATTTATACTAGGTGGATTTGCTATCAAGGTTGTGAGTGCCTATGCCCCTCATGTTGTTTGGCTTGGATGACGACAGCAAGAGAGAGTTTTGGGAGACACTTGATGGGGTGATAGGTGGTATCCCGCATGAGGAGAAAGTTTTCATTGGAGCCAACTTTAATGGCCATATTGCGAATTCAACAGAGGGTTTTGGAAAGTGCATGGAGGGTTTGGCTTGGGTGGTAGGAACCAGAAAGGGTTTAGCTTCTGCATTTTGCTCAAGTAGGGTTGTAAACGAATCGAATCGAATATTCATGAATAATATTCGTATTCGTTAAGATAAGGTGATATTCGAATTCGAATTCGAATTCGGTTCGAATATTTTTTAAGATTCATATTCGGTTTGTTTAATATATTAAACATATTCGGTTCGTTTAAAAATTTGATTTGTTTAAATATACTCGGTTCGTTTAAAAATATTCGATTCATTTATATTTTAAAATATTTTATAACCATTTAATCTATTTATTAGCTATTAGGTGTGTGTGTGTGTGTATATTATTTTTATAGTTAAATTTATATTCCGAATATATTTGTCAAACTCGCGAATCAAATACCCTTGATTTATATTCGTATTCGATAAAAATTCGAATATTTATTCAGATTCGTATTTGGATTTGAAAAAAACGAATACGAATCACCTCATACGAATACAAATCACGAATCAAACAAAGATATTTGATTCATTTACAACCCTATTCTCGAGTGGATGATTTGGTGATCGCTAACTCTTATTTCCACAAGCGGGAGGATCACCTGATTACCTTTGCTAGCAGACTAGGGAGGACACAAATTGATTATTTTCTTCTATGTAAGGGTGACCAAGTGCTCTATAAGGACACTAAAGTAATCCCGAGTGAGGATCTTACCACCCAAGACAAGATCCTGGGGATGGACGTCAGCATTAGGTGGGTTAAGAAAGGGCAAATGACAGGTGGTCACCCTCGGATCTGCTGGGGTGATTAAGACTTTAAGTGGGGAGAATATTCCAGAGTTCGCTCACGAGGGTGCGTGGGAATCCTTTGGAGAGGCAAACGACATGTGGTGTACAGATAATTAGCTAATTGCATACGAGAAGCTGCCCAAGAAGTGCTAGATGTGAGCTACGGTAATGAAGGTCAGCATAAAGGCGAATGGTGGAGTGATGTGGTTAAAAGTAAGGTGGAAGCTAAGAAGATAGCATATAGAAAGTTCATGGACTGTAGTGATGGCAGGATAAGGTGATTCTCCAAGTGGAGTGCAAGGTTGCCCGTATAGAAGCCAAATAGAGGTCACAAAGGCAAAGAATGTTGCTTCTGAATGCTTGTATAAGGACATTTAAGAGTGGAGTGGTGATAAGAGGCTTTTCTAGCTAGCTAAGAAACATGAGAGGAAGACCAGAGACCTGGAGCAGGTGAGGTTCGTGAAGGACACCAATGGTAGAGTTCTTTTCAAGGCGAGGGAGGTGTCCAACCGGTGGGGATACTTCCATAGCCTTATAAATGCATTTGGTGATCATCTGAGCCTTGAGTTAGGCGAGCTACGGCAATTAGAGGGGCATCAATACTTTCGGTTTTGCCAACGCATTTAGTCAAGGTGAGGTGGCCAAGCCATTCGCGGGAGGAGAAGGGGGAGAGCTTTGGGGCCAGAAGATATTCCATTGGTGTTTCGGAAGTATGTGGGTAGCCGTGGGTTTGTTTGAGTTATTTTCAGGACAACTAAGATGCCAGATGAGTGGAGGGAAAGTGTGATGGTCCCGCGGTACTAGTGTAGAGGCAATATCCAGAGTTGCAACAATTATAGAGGCATCAAGCTCCTTAGCCAAACCATGAAAAGTTGGGAGTGTATCATTGAGGCTAGACTACGGAAGAGGGTGTGCATTTCCAAGAAACAATTTGGTTTAATGCCTGGTCGATGAGTCGATCGACCACATAAGTCATTCACCTTTTGCAAAAACTGATAGAATAGTACAGGGCTAAGAAGAAGGATCTACATATGGTGTTCATTGACCTAGAGAAGGCGTATGACAGGGTGCCGAGGGAGATGTTGTGGAGGTGTCTTTAGTTTATAGGGGAGCCGATTGCGTACATCCATGTAGATTGAGATATGTATGATGGGGCTAGGACTAGGGTGAGGATTGTTGGTGGGGACTCTGACCATTTCACTGCAAGGTGTCTAAGGGTAGGTCCCTTGGTGCATTCTTTTTGCTGAATATATCGTAGTGGTTGATGAGACACGAGGACTTAATGACAAGTTTGAGTTGTGGCGCCTTTCCTCAGAATTGAAAAGTTTCAAACTAAGCAGGACTAAGATTGAATACATTGATTCCCACCCAATGCCTAAGAGAAACAAGTATTGTCACCTGGGCTCGATCATCCCGGCCAATGGGGAGATAGACAGGGATGTTGCTCTCGGTATTAGAGCTGATTGGGCTTCAAGAGTAGTTTGTGACACATAAATTTTTGCAAGGATGAAAGGGAAGATTAACACGTCCGTTGTGAGACCAGCTATGTTGTACAGAGGAGATTGTTGGGCGGTTAAGAAAACTCTTATTCACCATGATGTATATGAGCCCGGCCCTTTCAGGTCCTTCCCCACGCCTCACACAATCATGGGAGCCAAAGGACTTACGTTCAAACATTATGATCCATTTTAGTGAGAATTCAAAGGTCTTTTAACCCGAAAAACCAAAATAACTCTCGTTATTGACCTAAGGGTTCCGCTGGCCAACCCCCATTCCGTCGAACCCAACCCCAAACATCCAAAAGTATTTTATTTCCTTTTGATATCCAAAATAAAGTCTCTTCCAACTATTTTAACCCCTAGTCAAAAATAAGAAACCAAAACAGCCCCATTCATTTTCCCAACATTCACCCAACATGGTCCCTACTATGTTCCCTAGTCCAGCCCACTAAACAACCATAAAAGGCCAAGAGACACATGGTACTTTCTTAACCCTTTAACCACAAAATAAATCCTCATATATGCAGCCAAAGTACCACACATCACTCTTTCCCTTTGTCCCCCCTGGTTGGCTGAATACATCCCCCAAAATCAGCCCAAAACAATGTCATTCATTCCCCTTGGTTTGCCTTTCATTAGAGACCCTACAACCACACCCATCCCTGATTTTATTCCAATAAAAGGATCCAAACACATGGCTGATATTTCAAGGCTTTGAGAGAGGATGTTGCTAGGAAGCTTCCTTATGTTCTCATTCATTGTATTGTGTATTATTTTCCCCTTCCCCTCTCCCTATATAATGTAGCCTTAGGGCAATGTGCAGGGACAATGGAATCATATTAAAAACCTTTTACTTTTTGAGTATTCTTAAAATAGTGTGATGCTATTTTAGCCAAATTCCTAATTCTATATCTTAAGAGTGGATATCTTAAGTGTGAGTTTTAGGTTCTAGTTATTTGATTGAGTGTGTAATATCTTGATTAAATACTAGAGTTTAACCCCAAGTTAATCTAGAGGTGAGTTTATCCTTTAGTATTAATTTGGCTCCAAATTAAGATAAGAGTGTGTTTATCTCTTATTCCTTATTTGGAATTTATCCCATCCTTTCAAAACCCATCCTTCATCCCTGATTTTCCACTCTTCTTCATAATATCAAAACCCAAAAAGAACTCCTTCACATTCCCATATTTTCATCCAGCCCATTTCCCCTTCATTATTCCACAATTCCATCTCCAAAAATAACAACTTGATAAGACCCCCGGTTCACCCCTAACACACCAGCTACATGTTGCAGAGATGCGGAAGCTACACTGGATGTGTGGGCTGACAAGGCTAGAGAGGATTCGAAATGATGTTATTCAAGAGCGGGTGGAAGTGGTTTCTGTGGAGAGTAAGCTTCAGGAAGCTAGAGATGCGTATTTCAAACCTCAAGACGCTTGTTTCCTAGCTCTGCTCTATTGTAGCCTACTTGGCACTCGTGATCTGCACCTCTATGTCAACCAGCATCAAGGAGAGCAAACCCTCAACCATGGGACATTGACCAGCAATTGGAGCACAGTGATCTCCAATAACCATCTGATACACCCAAGGAGTCCACACACAAAAAATAGACGACATCGATTGAGATAGCATTCTCAGCCGTTTGGGGCTGTTTGGCCTAGCTCTAGCGCATAAAGGTCCAATATGTTAAAGGGGGCCATGAGTAGTCCTTTGCACCACGGAACTGGATCAGGTTGTGCATCCATCCAATATCAAGGACTCGTACAATGCCATCAAATAGTACTACCCCTGCCCAAACTCTAGGCTGTTTCAAGTGTTAGGTTTGTGTGGGCGGAAGCGGTAGATTGGTTCCAGCTGACCAATAATAGCAAAAGACACAATGTTTTCCATGTCTCATTATTCAAAGACCATCATAGAACAGCCCCAACCCCAACAAAAATGGGGACTCTTCTGCCCTTAAGAGAACGACATACAACTTGCTGACTTGTGGGAGTTTTATGCAGTAGCCTCCAACTCGGAACTAGAGAATTTTAAGTTCTATAGACAGGCCAATTACATGAAGAATCCACACAGGGAGTCAGGGAGTTTGGGAGGACTTTTCGAGGAGCATTTTGGAGTCAGAGCTTGAGATTTTGAAAATCCACTTGGCAACAAGAAGTCTGGGTGTGAGATAATCTCAGGAAGCAAATATCCTGAGATAGATCTAAGCTATACATCATCATAGAAAAAACTCCAATTTCTACATAAAGCACTAGAAAACATAAATTGAAATACACGGAGCACTACTTAAGTAAGAATTCATTTAGAATTTGATAAACACGAGACCGCTCCCCATATCTGATAGACCCACTGGTATACTCAAAGGGAAATGAGTTTTAATTCCCAATAGGATGATTCCTTCCTACAATGGAAATTCTAGGAAAGGACCTCTTAATTCATTTGGTAGAAACTAGAAAAACCCGTGATACAAGAATAATGCAACAAGGATAATTTGCATAATTTAGAAGAAAGGAATAAAATGAGATTGTTCCCTCTTATAATGATCCACCCAAAAAACAATTCTATCACCACGACCTACATTCAAACTATTAAAAAGTTACGCCACCCATTTTTATAATAGAGAGCCTTCACAACATGTCAACATTTAGCCTCTGTCACCTCACACTATTTAAATCTCCTCGTAAATTTAGCATGTGGCCTTTAAAGACACTGGCTGGGGTCGTCATCAATTGTGCTGTAGAAGAAATTTGTTTTACATGGAAAAAAAGAGAGCATAAAATGATATCTTACACACCTGTCTTCAACTTAACCATCTTTTGCCCCTCTCCAATTCCTTCTTCAGGATGAGCAATTGAGGGATAGCTTCTCTGCAAAAAAAGAAAGAAAGAAATTCCTATCTTAGATTTTATAGAATGTTAGTTTCAAAATTACTGGTATGGCCAATGCTAACATTGGGTAAAGAAAGGGTTATTATGAGCTTCTCCACTCCCCAAGATTCATGGGGAAGCTTGCCCAGATTCGAATCCCAACGGATGCATTAGGTTGAGAAACTATGAATATATACTACGGTGTAATAGTCAATAGCACTAAAACAGGATTATTATAACATACTTGTTGATTGTTTATGTTGAGAAAAGGAGCATTTTCTTTCATGGCTGAGCCTGAAAGTATGCCTAAAAGCATTGCATTCTTTTGTCTTACTCTCTGCAACTCAGCATACAACTCTCCAACATCGCCAAAATTCTCTACAACATATGATGAATCTGCTCATTGCTTGAATTCATATAAGTCACAACATAATCAGATATGTCACCCAAAACTTACCTTGACTCCCAAATGTTGAACATGATGATATTTTTCGACATTGATTCTTCAATGGCGGTGAGTAAGAGTGAGGCTTGTCTGGTAAGGCTATGTTTTCTTAGGGAGAAGGAAGAAAAGTTCAGTCAATTCATTCCAAATAAAGATGATTCTGACAAAAAAATCAGCAGTCAATTATAAATAAAAATCCGCCAAGAGACGTATGATTATCATGAGAAGGCGCAAAAAGCATAACGCCATCTCCATTGCCATAGTCACCGATAAGGTCTCCTGGATTTCTCGCCCCCATGAATGGCTGCGTTCGCCGACTAGGTTGATCGCCCACTGAGTCCTGTAATTCTATAAATAAAAAAAAACAGAACACCCGCTGTACCGGTACCGCCTCAACTGGTACCGTGTAGGGTTCCCAAATTTCGTCACCGGCACCTCGCGGTACCGGTACGGGTACCTGGTGCCTGTTTAAATTTTTTCTTTCTTTTTCTTGCTCCTGGCACAAACGGATACCTGCAAAAAAAGAAAAATCAGTGGGGGAGCCGGCCTCAACGGCTCTTGAGGGGGTGGGGATTGGGGAGGGGAGGGGGGCTAAAAAATATTATAAATACCCTTTTTTTCATAAAATATCACACTCAAAATCTCAAATACTCAATCCATCTCTCATTCTCTCAAATCTCAATCAATCATTCTTAATTCTTATCAATCATTCTTAATTTCTTAATTCTTATCTATCTTTTTTAAATATATTATATTTTAATATATAAAATTTCGAAATTATTTGAAATTTTCGAAATTTAATATATCTTTAATATCAAAAAAAATATAATTTATATTTTAAATATATTCTCTATTATTTATTGAAATTTTCGAAATTTTAATATATAAAATTTCGAAATTTTTTTAATTTTTCCAAAAGTAATATATTATTTTAATATCAAAAAAATATATATTAAAATGTCGAGGGAGTCCGGTAGAAGGTCCGTGGATATGGGCGACGTGAACCGAAGATTGAGTAAAGGCAAAGCTAAAGCCACCTCCGACGGTTCGACCTCACGCGGACGCGGTTCTCGAGGAAGACACTCTGTCTCTTCGTTTCCTACTGTCCCAGATCATTTAATCGGGGACACTATGACGGATGAAGAATTCAAGCAGATTTATTCTGGTAGAGGGGACGCGAATCTCCACACTCTTGATAGTCTATTTGAGGATGTTGATGAAGCAGGACTGGATAATCTTGACGGGGACGATGAGCCCACTCATTCTTATATACAGAGTATATGTAAATCTGTTCTTCCTGGTTCTGTTTACGAAGTTTGACCGATTTTATTTTTAATTCAATTTATTTGATTGTAGGTGTAAAATTAAAAAATAAAAGTTATATATTTAAGAACTACATCAAAAGTTATACAAAACAAGTGGTGACAAGACTATATTATTTTATCAAATACCTAATGAAAATAGGTAAAGAAAGTGATTAAAGTTTGACCGTGTGATAGTAAGTAGGAAGAACATTTCAGGACGGAGGGAGTAATACGTAATACTCATTCTAAAATAAAACAATATTCATTTTAAAATAATGTATTACTCATTTTCATATATTTGTTTAGTACTCATTTACGAATAACATAACATTCATTCTGAAACAAAGTGATACTCATTCTCTAATAAGATAGTATTGCATACTCCCTATTTTCTTCAAATTTGACAAAAAAAATATAATCCCCATCCTCACCACCGCACAACCATGGCCTGCTATCTTGCTGGGATTTTGCAAAGTGCAAAAATCCTCCACATGCATCACCTTCATCCCACACCTCCACGCAGCCGCCACCAACCAATCGCGGCCTCCTCCACGCAGCCTCCACCAACCGATTGCAGCCTCCTCCACGCAGCCTCCACGGCATTCAACTTCTATTGCCGCTGGATCGGCCGGTCCCTTCTTCGTCGGTGCGCCTTCCCTTCCGTCGATATAATTGTCGGCTGTACCGAAAAAACGGTACAGCCGGATGTACCTTATAATTTGCGATATTTTGTGACACTTAAACTCTTTATTTTTAGTTTCTTTCAATGTTTTCAGTTCCTTTCAGATTCTTGTAATTTTTTCTAGTTCTTTTCATTTTTCTTCCAACTATTCTCATTTTTTTCAAACTAGTTCTATTCCACAATCAATTATTCTAAAAACGATATAGTTTTAATGTGATTATTATTATTAGAATTATTATGTTTATAAATATAGTTTATAAATTATTATTTTTATCTCACTATTTTTACGATTTGCACTCATTATTATTTTTCCTTCAACTTTTTAATATGAATAAGACTATTTTTTTATATATTGACCTACATGATAAAATAGGAAAACATCAATATTTTAAACTATATTAAAAAATTATGGATAAAATAATTACATAAAATGTGTTATTAACCTAAATTTATATATGACCCCTCACCTTTCCCTTTATTACTCAACGTAGCCTCCTCCACACAGCCTCCACCAACCGATCGCGGCCTCCTTCACGTAGCCCCCACGACATTCAACTTCTATTGCCGCTGGATCGGCCGGTCCCTTCTTCGTCGGTGCGCCTTCCCTTCCGTCGATATAATTGCCGGCTGTACCGAAAAAACGATACAGCCGGATGTATCTTATAATTTGTTGTAACGCCCCAAAACATGGTCTAAAAGTTATTCTATTATAAAAGTATATTTTGACTCAACAAAGCATTATTTCTATGTTTGACCAAAAATGAAGGAATTTTTGGAGTCAATGATTTTTGTTAAGATTGACTTTTGTGGATAGGTCTCGAAGAGACGAATCCAACGGTATATTTTATGAATAAATCTGATGTACAGAGGTTGAGTTACGACATTTTAAATATGTAATTTGTATAAAAATGAGAAAAAGTCAAAGATGTGAACTTTTGTAAAATGATTTATTGAAATAAATATTTATATTTAATAATATTGATTGAATATGAGACTAATTTTAATTACATATCAATTAATTCAATTTTGACTCTGTCAAAGTCAACACCCAAAAATATGTTGTCAGAAAAAGTATTTCAAATAAATATAAAAGTTATATCATTAAATAGAGTTTGACTGTCTCATCGCAACGGTGTAAACGGATTTTAATTTGGATAAAGTTGGACCAAAAAGTGTACCCCAATTGAGGTAATTTAATCAAACTAAACTGGAAGGAATTAAATTAGCCGCCCCCTCCACTCACCTTAATCGACGGAAATCACAGGCTATCTACGCAACTCCCTCTCCCAGGCTTATATATAGAGCAATTCATTCTTCATCATCTTCACACCAAAATCATCCCATTAGTTAGAGGAGAGTTTAAAGAGTTGAGAGAAGATGTCCGGAGAGCTTCCCGTCACCGGAGCAAGCCATGGTGTTCGCCGGAAGTTTCGCCATTTTTCCGCCAGAATCATCGTTTTACTTCGAAGTAAGCCCGTAGATATATCTAATGACTAGAATGTTCATATAGGTCGTTTCTACGTTCATAGATGGTCATTTGGTTGAGTTTTGTGTTTGACATGCTTGAAAAACCAAGAATCATAAACATTGAAATTGTTGTTAAAACTTTGAATTAATGGTATTTAAATGATCTATGAACATTGGGGAACATTTCTATGTAGTTTAATTAAAATATGGTGACTTAAAATGATGTTTCGAAAATTGGAACCGAGGTTGAAGACGAAGTACTGTTGCTGTAAGGCAGCAACGGTCGACCGTACCGACACCACGGTCGACCGTTACCAGACCAGTGGCTTCAGTACAACGGAGGCAATGACGGTCGACCATCACTTGAAACGGTCGACCGTTCCGAAGACAGTCAACTACGAAAAATGCTATTTTTGAGTTCTAAAATCCTATTTTTGATACCAATTGATTATGATCATTATAAAAATGATTTTTCACAATAAAAATGATGTTTTTAATAAATTAAAATCTTATGTGATGCATGACGGTAAGTTTGGGTGTTAACACTCGAGACTAGGCCGCTAATTTTTATTAAATGTTATGTTGAATGATCATTATGATGAACTATTATTGTGGCCAATTATGAATGATTAACCTACTGATTAGTATGATTATTTATTAAATCATGATTAAAAATGGATATAATGATGATTATGAAAATGATGTATATTGTTAAGGATATCTAGAAGAACTCTAAGATATACCCACATGTATAATGATGATGATTATTAAGGATATCTAGAAGAACTCTAAGATATACCTCCTTGACCAATTCATATTTCGGGGTTAAAACGTACGTACGGGATCCAGACCGGATATCACCCACCCGACAAATCATTGTTCGGTTGGTACGTAATCCACATGACTCATAGGGTGGATTATCGATTCTTGTGTTCTGCATTAAACTATTTATAGTTTAAGGGCCTGGTTAGAAAT